GGCATTCTTGAACAGGAAGCCGTAAGTAAGTAGATCCCGAGCTGGAACAGTGGATGAGACAGGAGCGAGGGTTGGGAAATAAGAATATAACCACAACTGTAAAACCCAAAGCGGCCCACCACTAATGACTAAGGGGTGAGCCGTGATATCCTGGCAGCTCCTGTACAGATGAGCCAGCAAGAAAGGACCCAAAGCCATTTGTTTTCCATATGCTAAAGCCACAGCTAAAGGAATAAACTCTTTGGTGGGACCTTTGCCAGCAGAGCAGACTATATACTTGCAAATCAAAGTAAGCAGAAACGAAATATGTTCATCAACATTAACAGGCTTACTTTTGTCATAGGCAGACCTCACAAAGGCTGGATAAGAGGGTTTCAGCTCCACATTGTAATCAACACCTGGAGGCACGGTTAACAATGCTGAAATCTCTTCTCCAGTACAGGGCAATCCGGTTAGTGAGCTGACATCAAAAAGGCTCACAGACATGGCTCCACAGGGAAAATGAAAACAATTGAAAGAGCCAGACCAAAATAACAAAGCTGCACCCAAGGCCATCTTGTCCATGGTGAACCTGCATCTGGTGAGTTGTATAAATTCAAACAGACCCACATCTCTCCAAATTTGGCCAAAATCAGGTTCTAGACGATCAATCCACTCTACCCATTCTGATTTTCTCCAAACCGGCCAAGCTCCAAAAGAACCAATCCACTTACTCCAATCAGGTTTTACTTGAAAGGGGAGCAGATGTTCTTTGGGTTGTGGGTAAATGGAGGCAAGAGAAGCTGGCGGCTGAGACACAAAATAAGGGCCCAAAATCTGAGATTTTCTATGAGGAACAAAAGTTTGGCTTGAATGGCATGGTTTCTGTTTTTGGAGTACCCTGTTTATATCGTCTTGAAGGTTACGGTTTTGAAAGATTTTAGTTAAATTTGGGGGAGGTGACCTCAAGCAAGGAGTGGCCTTTGAACCGGCCATGGAAGCAGATTCGGTTGGCATGGGTTGTTCTTCTCGGTTACTGGTCATGGAGATAATTTTGGTAGAGGAAGGCTGTTCGGCAGTGGGGTTCACCGGTCACAAGCCGAGTCAAGCAGATCTGCACACACAAAGAAATAGAAAAAAAAAAAAATCAACCAACAGTCACGGACAAGAGGGGATTTCCGGTAGGGTCCATGGGGCACAAGCAAAGTAGATCTTTGCAAATAAAATGAAAGTAACAGTCAACAAGTACCTGTGGGGCAAGAAGAGTTGCCGGGGGGACCACTGAATGGAGCAGATCTGGACAAGCAAAAGAAGAGAGTGCAGTCGGCAGTAGATCTTGAAAGTTGAAGGAAATGGGTTGCTGATTTTGGGTGAATTTGGAGAAACAAAATAAAAAAAAAATTGAAGAGTGCAACCGGCAGTGACTAGAGTTTAATTTGAAGGTTAAAGGAGATGCAAAATGGAGTAGATCTGGGTGAAGCAAAATAAAATGGAAGGAACAGTCGGCTGCAAGGTGATGGTGGCCCGTGGAGGTTGAAGAAGGTAAAGCAAAATTAATGGTAATTTTCAAGGAGTCCCTACTTTTGGGATTTCTTTTGAAAATTAATAGATTTTTATTTAAAGTGGAGGAGACTTTTCAATGGGCCAATTGACGGTGGAATAATAAAAAAAAAAACAAAGAAAAGAGGGAGAGTGCAGCCGGCAATTTGAGGTATCCAAGGTAAATTTAATTTTGCCTTACTTTTTGGGATTTGATTAAGTTGAAAAGGGATAGCAAGAAGAGAGTGCAGCCGGCCATGGTTCAAAAGAAAAGGAAAAGTAAGTTTGACTTTTCTTTACTTTGGGTTTTGGAAAATTAATTGAATTTGAAAAAGGAGTGGCTGGGGTTTATCTAAAAAATTGCTCCAGGAGGTAGTTGTGAAGTGGCTTTTAAAGGGGATTTGACATGTGGCATAAGTAATTATGGTGTGGGAGACAATTTATTTAATTAAAACACTTGGATTTATCTTTATAAAACCAAGTGTTGGGGGCATTGTTTACACCATAAATTGTAGAATTTTAAGTTAATGCCACGTGTAAAATTTTTATTGGCTGGAGGAGTTTGGAGCCATGTCAGATTCGGATCT